TCACATGTCCTTGCCACGGGCTAAACCAACGGCAAAGATGAGGTTCCATCAGGCAGCTACATGACATCCGCGCCGGCTCCATGTTGCCTCCATCAGCTGTCTCACCGTCTATCAGCCGGGTCATTCGGCGTAGCTTCACAACGTGCCACCAAAAATCGGGATTCTTTGCAGGGGCATATGCTTCCGGTCAGATATGATGCATTAGAATGTCTGGAAAATGACATGCATCTAGCACCATGATGATAATGCAATGACCAAGCTTAGCCAGATTTGCTCGCAGGACATTGCTGATTGGCAGGTCCAGTCGAAGCTTATTCTTTGGGTGATATAACTTTGAGCATTGGCCCTGACAGTGAGACTCACAGTGCAGCCGGCAGCCTTTCTTATGCAACGTTTGGTGCAACGCATGGGAAAAGTTACCACGCCGGTTAGCACCTGGCCGGCCGTGCCGCCATCGGCCGCATTTGGGGTCGTTCCTGCGCGGATGGCGGGGCGATAATGGAGGCGCCGGGGATCAAGAAAGCACGAGCGCCCAAATAGTCAGTCCTATAGCAGCGGTTGAACCGAACTTGAAGTGCCTTGAAGTACTCATAGTAATTGTTTCTTTAGATCGCCACTTTGAAGTTGATTTTTCGCAAGGCCCCGGACATCGCGCCGCTGATCAGTGAAGCAAAGGCCGGGACCCCGGGCAGGGTGGGCCACGCTGATTTGACTGCCGAAGTCACCGATGCTGCAAGAATGGGAGGGTGGGTGGGGGTTCTCCAATTGGTGTTTCGTTCCTACTAGCTGAATCTGGCTTGAAAGTACCCCAAGGAAGACCAGATTATAGGTATTTAGGCCGTTATAGTGCACGAATACTTGCGCACTTGCTTGACGTCGAGGGAGCGTTACATATATATATATATATATATATATATGGACATGGCCTCGATGTCTGACTTTGAGACCCCTTCACAGACAAAAACATGAGCCTAGTTGAGCTGTTTGCGTGCACCTTGTTCTGCTCCATTCCGAGCAGTTCCATCCTGAGATTTGCACCTGGGTTGATCTGGTTCGTTCAATCAGCATCCGCCAAGGATTGCTGCCGGCAAACATGCCAGCTTGTTCTTTTCACCACATATTATTCGGGGGGGGGGCGACTGTCAAATTTCGGTTCCCTTTTTGGCATCTCCTTCAGGTTTAAACACGTGGTCATACGTATGTTTGCAACTCGTTTGTATAGCAATTTATGTACAACATCGCCGTCATATCAGTGCCATTTGCCTGGCCTGCGTGCGGGATCCACAATAACACTGGCCGGTGGCAATCATGTTGAGTGCACTTGAGATTGTAGCGACGTCGAAACCACGGCCCCTTGTTTGGGATCTGGTTGAGATTGTTACATTAAACGGTTCACTAAGTATGGGTCTTTCTGAGGGTCTTTCTAAGGGCACCATTTTTGGGGTAAAGGGAACCCCAGGAAAACCATTGTTTGGTCCCTATGAGAATGAGTGTGAATCAGTGCATGGCGTAAATGACAATCCCTGGCTTGTGAAGGCGTAGCCACCCCCCGGCCCTTCGAACCGCCCTCAGAACAGGCTGCGCAAGCATGGCGCCGCTTCCTGAGCACCGTCCTCGGGGGCGGCAGGCAGGAAATCGAGAGAAGGGCAGGGAAGTTCGATATCAAACTGAGATCTGTTTTGTTGTTGTTGTTTTGTTTTTAGTTTCCCTTGACAACCCACAAGTACTTCCAACAGGATGTACCCCATTCCGGGGCAAGTTTGCATGTGTTTGGGGAGCTGCTTGGTCTCATCAGCCGCCCAGCCAGATTTGAGCTTCGTGGGCTCCAGCTCTCTCAACAGTCCAGGTTAAGAGGGTCAAAATTATGTACCCAAAATGGAACCCTGGTAAATGGAGACTTGGACTACAACCTGGGGTCCCCTGGTGGTTTAATTTTGACCTACACCCAAATGTTCTTAAACGTTGTCTCGAAGAAGAAAAAAAAGGAGGCTTCCCTTGTGTGGGTTGATCCGTCGCAAGCTCCCTGGCGACCCGGGAGCTTGATGCCACACATGCTCAAGTTCCTCATGTTTTCCCGCCGGATCCAGCCAAGGTTGGTTTGCCAAATGTCTGAACTGGACAAATTCTCTCCCATGGGTCGATGCAGGGACAGCTTTCGCGTTGCAGATGGGGCCTGTCGGAAGACCTCGTAAGAATCATTCCCTAGACGCATTGTACATGAGGGATGCTTCTGAGCTTCTTTCGATCTCTTGGGACCGCTTGAAGCCTCTTGATTTATGCAGTTGAGAGACACGGATCCTTCGTGTGGCTTATTGCGACTCCTTAAGAGGTGAAGACCTGACAGCACAGCAGAAAATTCTACGAATCCACTAGGTTCATGTTTGTTCCTGGGTCGATCCCGTTGGAGAACGTTCGACACAGCCTTCCCTCATTTGGACCAAAACCTGTTGGACTTCAACGAGCTTGGTTTTGTTTGGCCAATCCACTCAAGGGAGTTCCTATACCGCTTCTCGCCAGGATGCTGCCAGGCATGCCTCTAAAGATCTACCTGTTTCAGGCGCGGAGCTCCCCAGGTTTTTACGCATAGGCCGGAGCCCAAATCAAGGCTTCCCGGAAAAGGAAGGCTTGAATCTTGACCCCCCTCCGACGATGTACTCTTGTTCCTGGCTTGCTGCTGTAGCGTTCAAGCAGAGCTTTCTGGGCAGAACATCATCCAAGATGCCACGTTTCAGCAAATGTTTGGAGTTGATCAGATTCAATTTAACATTCTGGGGTCTGGGCAAGCTTGGCAGCATTTCTTTTGAGGAGGGTTCGGTTCAAGATTGTCTTCCGTGAGCGGGGCAAGTTCCACTCGGCCCTACATAAGATCTATCACCCGGGTTCCAGCTTGCTCCAAAGGACAATCTAAAACCTATCTTGTTAGAAGTCATTTCGGGGCGCACCCGAAAGAGGGGAGAAAATCGCAAGCCACAGCCTGAGGTTTCCCAAAACCTGCTCTTCGCCATGGCTTGTGCCCGGCCCCCTCCCCCCACCCGTTTGGTGAATGAGGGAACCTCAAGGATGCGCAGCCCACACGGGGCCTGTTGACAGCCATGAGGCTTTCTGACTTCACCATGCCACCATGGGTATGTCTCTAAATCGCCAAGGATCTCCCTTTTCTTTTGCTATATAGGGTCATCAATTTGGCTGCTGTTTCCCTTCAACCCACCACTTGGGATGACTAGTAGCAAAATGAGGCCAGGTTTGTTTCTGGGAGGGGACAACCATGAGGGGAGTTGGACGGCCTCAAGGAATGGCTGAGCCGGTGAGAGGGCAGAACCAACTTTCAAAAGCCAGCTCTTTCCTTTTGGCCTAGGGTTCGCTTTTGTTCCCCTTTGGGTTGGTTTGGGCCCAATAGGTGAGTTCCCTTGTGGTGATGTTCTTAGGTTGGAGAGAATTCGGCCTTTTGCAAGAAGTATTGTTTGCCAAAAGCAGGTCCCTCTTGTGTTCCAGTTTGGGATTTTAGCCCCTTTTGAACAAATTCCCTTCCATTAAACCCGCAAAAGGTTAGACTTTTGCTCCCGGGGAAGCGCACACCAGAGGAAGCTTACTTTTTGTTCATAGGTTCCCATGTTCTAGGTAGTTCTGGCCTAGTTCTGCTATGAAACCTTTTGGGATAGAAACCACAGGTACCCATCTGGGTTTGAAACCTTTTGGGATAGTTCCATCTGGGTTGCCCAATCCTCTGGCATTGCGCTTTTCCGGCTACGGGGCCTGGGAACTCCTAGTGCTCGTCGTGTTAGTCTGAGCCGGAAACGAGACGAGACCAGTGGTTTGTACACGCAGATTCGGGTGTTCATGGTGTTCCCAAAAAGAAAACTATTGGGATTCTCAAAAAGGAAATGGGACTTCAAACATGGCTTGGTTCCGCTTGGCGAGCGAACTTCTCGGGCAGGCCTTGGTCTGGCTCTTGCCGGTGTTCAGTTCGGCGCCCATCGCCTTCCTGGGCTCCGACACCTGGCACAGGCCTTGGAAATCCACGAGATTTGGTGAATTTGAGCCGGCGGCGTGTGTCAAAGAAGTGCTCCCCCCCTCAAAATGAGGGGTGTTTTTTGTTTTTTCGGTTTGACTTCAAATCAACAAAACAGGTACCAACTCCAGGCCAGGCCGTGGCATGGCGGCCGGGGTAAGCCTGGGTGTGTGGTTTTGGAGGCGCTCGCTTCCCGGGGTCAGTTTACACCAAGGGACACCAATCGGATTTTTCATTTTTCGGGGGGGAGTCTCCGGTTCGTCGAAACTGCTCTTGTCGGCTTCCCTGCCCCTTCTCAAAAACGCCGCCCCAAAACAGGACGGGCTGGGGGGTTCCCCCTATTTTGACACTATTTTGACCCACTCAGTTGTTCAGCCCGGCCTAAGAGTGCAGATTTTTGGGACTTGTAGAGTTTCTTTCACGGCTGGTGGCACCACAATGATTGGTAGATCAGGACCTCTAAAATGGTCACTGGCTGCAACCTGGGTGCTTGCAGGTGCAGGGTGCAATCACAACACGTTTGGACGACTGTAATGCTTACCAGTGGCAACAGCCCAAAGAAATCTCGCGATGCATGATCAGTGAATCCTGGAAGATACAGTTGAAGACCTGATCATGCGATGAGCTGTTATTTGTGTGGGCATCTCCAAATGGCCCTAAGACCAACACTCCACAGGGCCCACGCAAGGTGTGAGTGCTGAATGTGCGTCCATTTGCTTTGGAGACGTTCATCATCCCCATTGGCGCTGAAGGGAAAGGATGCTGCCTAGTCAAGCAGGCCGTCGCTCCGCATCACGGAGCGCACCAGGGAGAGCCAAAGTCTGGAGAATAGTTAGACTTTCTTTGCTCCAGCAGTTGCCAACGTTAAGGGGAGAACGGATCTGACAATACCTAACCCCAACAATATTCCCCAAGAGGGTCATTTGATTCAAAAGCAATCTGCACTGGACCGGAAAAGTCAGCCGCACCGGACCCCCTACCCACATGACTCCGGCTAGCTTTGCGAGCTCTTCAAAAATCAATCAGCAGCAGCACTGCCCTCGGGCAAATTGTGTTTGGTTGGCAGTGCTGTGCCCGGGGTGAGCCTTAGGGTTCTAGCCTTGACACTCCTGCTTTGCTACACTCTATCTTGGCGCTAAAGTGCCGATAGTGTTTAAGTTAGCCATTGGTTTTTCGGAATGTTCAAAAACTACACCGTATATTCGGCTTCGTGGTCCAGTGGAAGAGGGCAGAAGCCTCTGCATTTGTATTGCACACAGGACTTGTTTGCTTGATTGCATGCGAAAGCTTGCAAAGCTACTAGGTCATCATTGAAGGATAAGGGTTGAGGGACAAGCCGGATTCGAGCAGAGTTACCAGGTCTGCGAACAGTTAGTGGTTGTGTCCAGATCGAACGTAACACGTTTTGAAAACACACGGCTAATTTTGTTAGCAGTTTTCCGGCCAAGAATAATCTACGCCGCGACGCAATGCTTCTAGTGAGTTGCCTTAACATGAGGCACAATCAAACCTCAATGGCCGGACAATTTTAAGTAGGTGCGGATATTCACCCGTATAACTTATATATAATGAGTTTGGGCAGGCTCCTTCAGTGCCCTCCCAATTTTTGAAACGCTCCAAACCAGAGACCCCTCAGTCAGTCGCCAAACACCGGTTCTCAGAAAACAGATTGGCCACTAGCTCATTGGAAGGGAGCCAAGGAGCCGGGGTATCCCAGCTGGTTTGCCAGGTTCAGCCTGGGCGCCGCAGCGAGCTTGCTCACCAGCACCTGCCTGGAGCGATGCCGGTGAGGGACATGTTCCTGTTCGGGGACCCACAAAGTGCTGGTTGTCTTGCAGGTTTTCCTGAACACCAAGCTGGAGAAGGAACCTTCAACACACACGCACACAGGCAGCCAGTTGCGCAGGCGCACAAGCACGCAGGCACATAGGTCCACAGGCACGCAGGCACAAAGGCACGCAAGCACACAGGCAGCCAGTAACGCAGGCACGCAGGCGCAGAAGCACACAGGCACACAAAGGCACAAAGGTGCACAGACGCACAGACACACAGACACACAGACCCAGAGACACAGACAGACAGGACAAGACAAACCACACCAGACCAGACAGAGACAGACAGAGACAGACAGAGACAGACAGACAGACTAGACAGACAGACACACACACACACACATGTGGACACAGAGCTCCTGTCCCCTGACCCCCAGAAACATGATAGACATATCATGGTTGGTTTCAAGATTCCCTTTTAGAACCGTTTCCATCAGCATGTTGATGACTTGCTCGCGGGCCGGCAGCGGAAGTTTGAAGCCGTTGCCTGAAAGTTGTGGTTGTGGAAGATGTATTGCAGGGTTTCATATATTGCCTTTTGGTGGTTTTCAACGTCACCTTTTGGTCCCTTTCAAGCTGAGTTTTCTTTGGATTGAGTGATGTTAGGGAAATGTAGAGACCCTTGTATTGCCTTGCGCCGCCGATTAGGTCAAGTCCTAAGCACCTCGTCCCAGGGACATCAACTCATTTTATAAACAATGTCCATTTGGTATATCAATTAGTAAGTTGTTTTCTGGTTCACCCACTACTAGTCAATGTATGCTTTCTCGAGCCTTGGATTTCTCCAATCGCTGGTTTCCGGTGGGTTTCGCGAGAACATTCATGACGGCAGCTCCAGTTTCAGGAAGGGACGCCTTAGACCTGTGAACAGCGCACTTACTGGTTCTGATAACACGCAACTAGCGCTGAGGGGGGGCAATCCTGTGAGCACAACAATACATTTGACGAGTTTGAAGCAACGTGTGAGAACGTCTGAAGTCTGCGCAGATTTGGAGATATCTGGAAGAACAGCATCTTCTGGGACTGATTACAACTCACAAGACCGTCGCAATGACCGTGGGGTGGCCAAAATTCATGCCACAGCAAGGCCCTAGGTGAACAACGCATGCTGGTGTCCACCAGATGTGCGGCCACAGATTAAGCTCCCACTTAGCTGATTGCAAGCAGCATTGTGTGTGTGTGTGTTTCATGACGTTTCAGTATGTTGTGAATCAATTGCAGAGCAATGTTGAACCAGCATTGGAAGTAGAACGCCATCGGAATGGATATTGTGTAAATAGTGCATCTTTGCAGGGTCCAAACCCACCAAATAATATATACCCGGGTCGCATTTTGGAGCCAATGTCCAACGCTGTTGTGCCAGTTTTGCGAGGAGCTCCTTCGCAGCGTCCTCTCTCGGACCACAGAGCCAGGCGTGTGTCTTGTGGAAGCGAGTGGGCGCAAAAATACACACCTCTGGTGGTACCCCCGACTTGGTGGTTTGGGGAATTAAACCCCTGGTTCCTGTAAAGGGCAGATGGGGAACCCCTCCTGAGCCACCAAACCACCAATCCAAACCACCAATTGGAGGGAAGCTGATTTGCTGCAGGCCGGGAGGCTTGTTTCTCTTGACACGGTGAACTATACGGTTGACCTGCTGCCATATTGTGGGTGTCTTGAGGATACCCTTTTTCTCTGAATGTCTCTGATTGAAACCCACGTCGGTTCCCTTGAAGGCAATGCTAAATGGCCCATACATTTGTTGCAGTTCCTAAAATGAAACGGAAGAGAGGTGGCAACAAATATCCAGCTCTCTATGCAGCACCCAGATCACTCAATATGGATGTTTCTGTGTTTTGGAGGGTACCCTTGATGGAATTGTTGCAACGGGCAAGCAGAAGCTCACCCATAGCCCCATTTGGAGACAACCTAAAATCAACAAACGCGTGCATCATATGTCACTGATTTACCCATACTGAATCCATTTCATGTTTTAGGCATAGTAGCTTCATAAGCCACTATGTCAGGAGTTCCCCAATCTCCCTGTGCCTTTAAACATTCAGTGGTGACCCTCTATTTAGGTTGTTTCTGTTGGTGTTCTTTACCCCCCCCAAAAAAAAAACACACACAAAAAAAAAACACAACAACGACAAAACACAAAACAAGTGTACCAGCTCCAGAAAAGCACAATCCCAGGGAACCCCCGCCTTGCCGCCAGATTCAGTTTTTCTTGAGTGGCCAGGTATCAAGGCCGCTTGGTTCGTGGACGACGAGGAGCTGGACTTTTCGGGCCTCTCCCCCCAGGCGTGTCTTAGGGTGCCCCGTTTGGATGGGTTTGAAGCGAACCCAAAAGGACACCGCTTGATCAAGGCGGCTACCAGATTGGGAGGTGCCAATGGGGTTATGGTTGAAGTTTTCAGGTTGGTTAAGTCAAAGAAAAACCAGAAGGAATGCCTTTTTCTTTTTGGGGGGGCTGCTTTGACACACACACACACACACACGCACACACACACACACACACACACACACGCACACACACACACACCCAAGTTGAAACAATCAATCCAGGTTTGTGGTTTCTCAATCTACGCGGAAGTGGGCTTTCGGGCTATCCATTGGTACAGCTGACCAACAGAATGGTGGAAAGTTGAGTTTTCAGAGCCGCTTTCCGTGATACGAAGGGGAACCCCTTCAAAAGGTTATTGACTATCCACAACCACGAGCAAAGTGTAGCGTCAGATTGTGCTTCGAGATTTCGCGGAGCCCATGAGAACGCAACCAGCCTTCGGACTCCTCAGTTTGAACAGGGTTTGGTACTCACGGGAGCATCAGCTCGAGTTCTCCTGGGAAGCGAACGCCCAATTCGGGGGTGGGAGGCGGCACCTCGTAGGCCAGAGAAGGAGGCGGTCAAGGCGTCGAATCTCCACGGGCAAATGTAAGGTGGCATGGTGCGTGTTTCAGACTGTGCCGATGATTCACCTTTTTCCGGGATCCGGTATTATCCTTCCGGATTCCTCGGTGCTGTTGGAGTCCCAAGATCTTGTGCCAGCCTTCCTTCAAATGAGCGAGACATGTATCTTCTGATGGAAAGGGAAGATCCTACCTGTCCCTTGCCCATTATCTCGATTCTGCTTGTCGGAAAATGACCAAGAAGCTCGACCAAGCCTAGACCTGAGAAGCTGAAAATGGGCTTGGGGAGATACACCAGACATCGAAAAGGCAAGAGGCCTTGTAATTCGCGGGAAGGATGCCATTGGTTGTGACACGACTCAACTGGCCTCTGGTCAGATAGAGAAAAGCTCAGTTAGTTTCCCCCGGGCCCCCCGGGTAACAGAAGTCCCACAGGGCTTGCGCCAAAGAATCATGTATAGTATCCGGAAGGAAGAACTCATTTAGAGTCACCCAAACGATGTATTTGGCAAGGTCATTTTGGGGGGTTTGAACGAGCTCACATCGGGTCGTGTTCAGGTCTTTGGGATTATCATGACATTTGCGGGGCGAGACCCTCTTCCTATCTCCATTTCCTCTCATAGTCAAAGGATAAACAACAAGCGGGTGCGGGGGAAAAATGTGTATGCCAAGCGGGTACGCGAGTTTAGGTCCACACACACAGAGACATGTGTGTATATATATATATAAAAACATATGTCTCAAAACATATGCATATTACAATGTACATTCAAGTTGATGGACTCTCTCTCCCTCTCCCTCTCTCTGCATTTCCCCACAAACCGGGGGTTCTCAACCCAATCTTCCCATGTCCTCGCCCATGAACCGCCAATGGTGTCAGATCGGCAGGTCATGCGGCAGCTGATCCCACGAAGGCGTGAAAACGGCAAATGAGGGATTTGCATCCCAAGGATCGGGGGCCCGAAGTTTCCTCGTGCTATGGGAGCCTTAGCCTTCGAAAGGGGTCCCCAGAAATTTGGTGGGGAACAACCCCATCGTGTTGCGTTTGTTGCCTGTGGGGATTTCAAGACACGGTCACTGGTATTGCTTGGTGGGCTCAGAGTCAAGAAGATCCAAAGCCCTGGGCTCAGACTTGGTCTGCCAGGGCATGCTGGCTGCGTGTTGTAAACCCCTCCCCCTAATATAGCCCTCCCAAAAGCCACAGATCGGCCGGGGAAAAAGGAGATCATGAGGGACCGAGTTCGGTTTGTTCGGCGGTCTGGGAAGGTTCCGGTTCGGTCCTCTTCGGTCATCTTCGACGCTCGTCTACGCGACCGGCCATGTAGATTAGCAATTCTCGGAAAGCAGCAGCATTTTTCTGATCTGTGCTGGCTGAGAGGGTTGATTATTGGTTTGGTGTTAATTAGGTGGTACACCTCCAGTATTGGTTTGGTGTTAATTAGGTGGTACACCTCCAGCTAAGATTTTGCCCGGAAGCAATCTGCGACGGCTGTACGTGGAAGGGAGGGACAAGGGTTGACTAGGTTTCTCTCCCACTTGGCTAGGGGGGCCGAAAGCGCACCGTCAAAACCTGTATTTCAGGACCAGTGTCCCCGGACATGTTCTGCCATCGAAGCTCATTTGCATCACGGCTTGAAATGGTTGGTCTTCAAGCACTATGATTGTTTGCTGAACACGAGATCGAGTTGATGTTGTGCTCTCAAAGGAGTTTCGCTGTTGTTGACCGCAAGCCGTCATCCAGCACGTGAGGGCTTAAACTATGGGATGTGCAGGAGGAAGGGTGGAAGGGCTTTGGGAATTTGCACAGTTAATGTGGTCTAAACTGAGATCACGAGATCACCCTTACGCAGCACTATTTTGTATTTGTTGTTGGCTAAATATGAAGCACAAATTTGAAGACATGATTTGCAGTGTGCACTACTTTGGGCCTTGGAGCCAAATAAAGATAGCCCTGTTCAGGCCGGCACAGCAAGGCTTGCTTTTAGACTCGGCCCTCAACCTGAAATCCACCTTTGGCAAGACTGCATCCCTGGCAGATGAGCCGTGTTCCTCGAATCCTCAGAACTTTCGCGAACGCAGATGGCTCCCCAACTGCCGAAAGTATTGGGGTCTCCAGAGCCGTCCGGATGGTCAGCCAATGTGCCAAGAGGGTTGGCGCAGGTCATGGCTTTGCTGGGTCGGCGCCTGCATGGTCTCGGCTTTTCTTTGTGCCACCTGCGCGGCGGTCTTGGCGCCGATTTCGCTGGCGGAATCGCTGGAGCCCGCCTTCGGGGCGTTTGGGCGAGCTCGGGCTGGCTGTCGGATCTTTGGGTTGGGCTGTTGGGCTGTTGGGCTGTTCGGTTGTTAGGCGGCTTGGGCTGAGAGGTTTGTGCAGCATGGGCCTTCGGGGCCGGAGGTTGGGCAAGCGGATAGCAGATGTATTGCCCAGGGTTTAGCCGTGGTTGGGTGCATTTGGGCGGATCATAGTGTACTAGCAACGGGGGTGTTTTACTTTTTGTGTGTTGTTTTTAATATTCGTCAAGAAGGGGTGCAACAAGAACCAGCAGCGTCAGAGGGCCCCCAAGATAGCTGATGACCAAACCACATGTCCATAATGTCCCAACACATTCGGCCATGCCATGTCAGGCAACCAAAACAATGCATCACTTTCTTGCATCTTCATGTTCTCAAATGGCATCTGTCAGGTGTTCTAGGTTGGGCAGGCACCTACCTCAAGGCGGGTGCGCTAAAGCAGCATTCTGGATGGAATTATATGCTGATTCCACGGCTCATTATTATCTAGGCTCGCACGCTTTCGTCGGTGTTTTTGAGGCGATAGTTTGCTTTGATGGTTGATTGCGGGGAACGTGAGGCAAGTGCTGCAACCCGATGTTTGTGTGAATGATGGCCCCGCAAAATGGGGTAACCTGGCCAAACGCTTCCAAGTGATAGACATGCACATGTGGGATTCTTTGCGTCCATCCACTTCTATTGTTTGGGCATGGCTTTTTTCAGCGCCACAGGTGGCTCTTGTGTCGGGCCTATTTGATTGCACACAATTGTGTTTGTTTGAGTAGGGCTCTTCAGATAGACATGAAACCCGGAGCGGCGTCCTCAAATGAGATGCGTCTAGTCACGAGTGGTTAGTTTAATTTTCAGGGAGTCCATGCTAAAATTCGGTAGAGTATCAGCATGTTTGCTTGTAAAACCCTTGGTAAAGATTCTGGTAGCACGGAATGAGCCAATCATGCTGTAAAGTTTTCGCACTCAGCCGAATTACCTGCGAGCGTAGGCCGGGTTGGCCTTCACCGAGATCTGGTTGTGAGAATGGCGGCTTGGAGAACACAACCCACACGAACGCCCCAAGCTGCATTTGCATTTGCTTCAGGTTGCACAAGAGGAATGTCCCCGAAAGATTACTTTGTTTGACTGTGGCCAGAACAAAACGCACATTGATGTGTCATACACTCTTCAGGGGGTTGAACGGGGTCCATCCCTGTGCTTGGGACCTGGGACAAAGCCTTTGACCAGGCCCATCAATGGGTTCAACACTTATTTAGAAGGCCCTATTGGGCACTAGGTGTGCTTGAAAGCCCCCTTGGCTCCAACTCAACTTGGACCAGGACGAGACCTCTGCGCCAGTGGTGGCCTGTTGGGTCTTCCTTACTGCAGGACTCGGCTGAACACCGCGCCGCCATGGGTGTTTTTGTTTTGTTCTCCTTTGTTTTTCTCTTTTCTTAGTAAAAAAAAGCATTGTCTGGGGACACATGGCGGTTTTTTGAACCCTGGGCCGTCTTTTACAGGGGCTAATTACAAAAGAGAGCTCCCTAATTTTGACAAGCCCCTTTAGTCTGCTAGTTTGCCGCTTGATTTGGTTGGAACAGTCGGACCAAGTCGGACCTTTGACCTTTAGTGGGAGAAATGAATGAATGTTTTTGCGAGCCACTAGGTGAAACACATTTGTGCAGGCAGTTCATGACCACAAAAGGTTGTCCCTGACTTTGCGGAAGCGCCAGATTGGCTTAGCACAGTTTGCATTGGGGTGGGTTGGGCCATTGGCCAATGCATCTTGCAAACCTTGCCCTGCGCGCGTGTGTGCGGTCGGACTGACAGGTTACTTGCGTGTTTGTTTTTGGACAGGTGTTTGTGTATATCGTCCTGTGACTGGACCTGGGCTAGGGTTGGTCTTGAGGTTCGCTGGATTGAAGTCCAACAGCCTCGTCGGCTGTGCCGAGTTAGTACTCCAAATCCAAGTGTTTCCCAACATCCAAGAACCAACGTGGCTTTCCATAATTCGCTGAACGCATCCTTGTATACATTGCAACAGACACGCGCGCTCAGTTACAGACCGACTTAGTGGTCAGAGTTCCAAAGCAGAGAAGGTACCCATGGTACCCTTGTTTTGTCAGCCCCTTACACGCTTCCCCAAACTGCCAGAAATAGTAGGGACGCTGATTTCGTGTGCCCCTAAATGACGTGCTTGCGCTCCTACTCCTTTCCCACAAGAGGCATGTAAGTAACCATTACTCCTTGAAGATTCACATGGCACCTGGAACCATTAATGGAGTCCCCCCAAAAGGAGATCCCTTCGAAAAGCGATGGGTTTTTGGGTTTCATTTTAATTTGCAGGGGTGTATGCACTGGACGGGCAACCCAGGGAGCCAGACGCAAAAGCCCTTCTTTGGCCGGCCCTTGTTGTCAGCCGCAAAATCGCTTTCGGGTGATTTGTTAGTGTTAGCACTTCAGTAAATGACATATTGCTGGCTTATAATTGTTTGTTTGTTTGTTTGTTTGTTTGTTTGTTTGTTTGTTTGTTTGTTTGTTTGTTTTAATTGTTGGTTGGTTGGTTGGTTGGTTGGTTGGTTGGTTGGTTGGTTGGTTGGTTGGTTGGTTGGTTGGTTTGTTTGTTTGTTTGTTTGTTTGTTGGTTTGTTATTTTGTTGGTTTGTTGATTTGTTGGTTGGTTGGTTGGCTGGCTGGCTGGCTGGCTGGCTGGCTGGTTGGTTGGTTGGTTGGTTGGTTGGTTGGTTGGTCTGTTGGTTTGCTTGTTTGTTTGTTTGTTTGTTTGTTTGCTTGCTTGCTTGCTTGCTTGCTCGCTTCATTGCTTCCGTGCTTCTGTGCTTTGCGTCCCTGCTTGATTGCTTGTTTGTTTGTTTGTTTGCTCGCTTGTTTTTGTTGTTGTTGTTGTTGTTGTTATTTTTTGCGTTTTCTGTGTGTGTGGCTGGGTTTTTTTTCAGATATCTCTTTTGCGCTGTGTCGGTCCATTTGGAGACCACCGCGTGAGCCCGCGCAGGAGTGGCGCACTTCGGGCTCTATGCTTCCCCTCCGCCGGAGGTGAGCGGTAGCCGCTGGGCCGCTAGCCGCGCTCCTCTTGGATGCGACATCCCCCTGCGCGTTGCTTTGTGCCGCTTTTTGTTGGAGGGAGAGAGAGAGAGAGAGAGAGAGAGAGAGAGAGAGAGAGAGAGAGAGAGCCCCCCCTTCAAAATCAACCACGAAGGATGGCCTTGGTTGCCCACGGCCACTGGAGGTCTGGGCTAACTTGGAGCCCAATTGCAGCACGGGGAGTCATGGAATACAAATTCTTTTTAAAGTAACCCTCTGGCGCGCTCCATGTTGCCAGAAGAGAGATTCTAGCAAGCTCAACGTCTGGGGAGTAACATTCGGGATGTGTGAGCTTCAGATTGGTGAGCGATTGCAAATGGCGAAGATGTTGAGATGCCTTTTCCTTGGATGTAAGATGCAAACCGGCCTCGAAATGTGCTTTAATTCGAGCCATGTCGGGGAGTTTGGTCATGGTAGGCCAAAGCCAGCCCTTTGACTTCCCTTTCTGTTTTGGGGCGGAGGGGAGTGAGCACCATGAGAGTCATGTGCAGGCGTCGGGTCTCATGCGTCGTCGTCCCACGCTTCGTTCCCAGACAAGTTGAATGTCTACATGCAAAGCAAGTGGTTCTTTCGGGATTCTAACCTGAAAGGTGACTGGCAAATCCCGCAGAGCACCTTAGTTGCTTCTACACTTCAACGACCCCCAAAGTCACTCAGGAGGCCCCGGGCATTCAGGAAAAGCCAAAATGCTGGCAGTTGGAATCATCATTCAGGTTGCTTGGAATATTTCCGGCGCGGCTATGGCCATGGCTGGTGTACTGTTTCTAGAAGGTGGACATGCGAGGATGGGGGCTAGCACTGCTTCCTCACGGTGTACCCACGGAATGGGAAGCAAGTTGGACAAAACAAGACCCCAGACCCCCCAAGGGTGCCCTTTTTCCTTGTTATGAGAGAGCTTCTGGTTAAGCTCAATTTTAGCTACACAGCATAAGATGCCATCATACTAGAGAGGTTTCAAGCTTGAAGCGGTTGGCGTTTGAGGTGACGACGCCTTCAGTCGACCGCTGCTGGTGCTGCTGATGCTGGCGCCGCTACTGTTGCAGCCGCCCATAGCTTTGGCGCAGGGGCGCGGTGGTCCGGGGTCGCGCCGAGCCAGTCTCGTTTGTCTCCAACAGGTCTTGTCTCAAAACAGGGGAGCCACAAAAGAGAGGTTTTCTTTTGTTTTTGTGTAAGCATCCAAAAGGGTCTTTTCATAAAAAGCACACCCAAATGGGACCTTGGGACCTTTGGAAATGGGTGGTGTGCTTTGATTTGCGTTTAGAGACCATCGCCACCCGAAATTGATCCCGGCCAGGTGCTACAGAATTTAGCGTGTTTCTTTCGTGCAAAGCCAAGCCTACAAAGGGAATGTGGCAGGGATTCAATCCTCACAGGGAGCGAGTCGTCAAAAGGATGTGACACCTTGTTGGGATGGTTTATGAGTTGTGCTTTTCTCAAAAAAGGGGTTGGCATCCAAAGAGAGTCTTGCAATGCCGTGGAAAGGGGTTGACAACCTTCGCCACCGCGACCATGTGGCCTTGGGTGCTGCTTGCGAAGGCAACCTTGTCACTCTCGTTCAGCCCCGACGTTGAAAGGAGGGCCTTCGGGAAGCTAGAGCCTTTCGGAGCCCGTAGCTCGGAGCCCCGAAAAACCGCTCCGGAGCGTAGGGCAGAGACCCCATAGCTTCAGCTCGATATGGGACAGGCAGTATCCGAGGCTTCACAAGGTTCGGGACAGTTTGGGTGTCCCCGTGTCCCAGTGGTGTGCCGTGGTGTCCCGGTTAGAGTTTGGTGGTGCTTGTGGGGTGTCCCGCAAGGGAAAGCAAGGTGGCAACCTCGCGAGGGCGTGTTCTTGTTCCATTGAGCCTCGTGCTTCCGTGGCTCGTTTGCTAATCAAAAGTCGATTTAATTGCCACGAGGGATAGACCTTGTGACGCAGCACGATGCAGCGCTTCTTCATCGCCGATAGCAGTGATTGAATGTTGTTCGACTGCTGGTGATGTTGCCGTACTTACCCGTGCTGCACTGCAGTCGGAGTGAGCATGAAAGTGCCCCCCACCCACCCCAGACCGAAAGCCGTTCTCAATGCTGCGCGCAGTTGGAGTGGACCTTAACATCCCCCACTCAAAAAGTCAGCAACTTCTCAGTTGACAACCCCCCCCACCCCACCCCAGACCCGGCAAGTTCTGCATGGCCATCGCGGCGTGCGGTTGCTGCCAACAGCAAGACCTGCAGTTTTTTTTGTTTTTTGTCTTCCCCAGAGCACTTGTTCGTTGTTTTTTTGTTTCCCCGGTTTTTTCTTGCGGGGGGTGCGCAGGGATTGGTGCGTTGCGGTCCCCACCTGGGCCCGAAGGCTGGTGGTGGCAGTGTCGCTGCTGCCGCTGTGCTGGGCGCTGGGGTTGCTGCCCTCGCTGCCTGAGCTCCTTCTTTGGGCCCTTGAGCAGGCGATGGTCTGCGCTGCGGGTCTTTGGAGGGAACCCAAATGGCTTCGGTCTGAGAGTCGGGACCATGCCATCCATAAATCGGGGCGGATATCTGCCCTTTAGGTTCTTTTGGGTAGACATGGTAGTATTTCAATGCGTCAGCTTTTTAATTGTGACTCAATTGGTGGTTTGCAGGTTAGGGGCGGCAGCTTTCCAAGCACCCTCAGGAACCAGGGGTTCAAATCCCCAACTACCAATCCAAACCGTTAATTGGGGGTAACCTGAGGTACGGAGCAGTGACGGACATTAGCGAATGATTAATGTCGACCGGATTTAAGCAGACCCGCAGTAGGGTTGTCCTAGCTTCTTGCTTTTGGACGGGGTTTCCCTTTAAAATCAACTACCCGAAAAAGGCTGGATTTGCTTGTTCTGGGATTGTTTGGTGGGTGTTTTCCCCAAAAGTGAAGGATTCTACGGGACACCACACAATACTGGACGCACTCTTCGGGAGAGCTAAAAGGGAAGCGCCTTGTTGTCAGTCGTGAGTTGCGGCTCGTTTTTGAACACGGGGGAACCCTAAACCCTAAACCCTAAACCCACTCCAAACCAGCCTGAGCCAACCCAAAAACGACCATAAACTCACCCTGAGTCCTGTCCCGATTGGTGTTGCATACTGATCTTCCTAAACCGAAATAGGCTGGAGTTGTGGTTGGGGGTGGGCAGGCAGCTTTATCCGAGGGAGACCCCTGAAAAGGGTTACCTGGGTGGTACCCCTTCAGTAGGTTCCGTGACAGGAGGAACAGGTATATCTCCACCATCAACGAAGAGTCATCGTTAGAGGGGTGGCTCATTCTCATACAAAGAGATCATTCTCCCTTGAAAACACATGGGTACAATCGGTGAGCGTTGGCAATCTTCCAAATTTCCTGTGAGAGTCTCCTTGTAGAGTGGTTCTTCCTATCCCTTTTTACTCTCAGGGAAACATGAGGAATATTGCATGTGAATAGATTAAATTGGCAGATGGGGATGTGACCTCTCCATCCGGCCATTCTGCCGCACCTGCTGAATTCCTCGGCTTCTCGCAGGTTGGGAGAACCGTTGGGGCACTTCAAAAGCGCATGGTGCCCTTTGATTAGATGAGGCCCACAACCATAGGCTGTTCGGTGAGGGGCAAAATCGGATGGCACCAGCCTCATTCCTATTTCCACTTTCCAAACAAAGGACCTTGCCCATGCCCCGTTTTTTTTCCGCCTTGCTTGTTCATACCCCTTCCCCGGTTTTACGGGCATATCCTTTGGTGATCATCAGCCTCTCCGTGCGAGTCTTCCAGGCGGAGCTTCTGCTGGGCGGCAGCTGGCCCCCGCGGCTGCTCTTGAGCCTGGCCCTCGCGCTGGGCGCGGCGGCAGGCGCGCGGCGCGCCGAGCAATCGGAGCCGGCGGACCGGAGCTGTGGAACGTGGCGGATGGTTTTGAAGTGGCGGATGGTTTTGTCAAAACCAATGGGATCCCATTTTTGGGCTAGGTGCACCGCTTAAAAATAAAAATAAATGTTTTTTGTTAGTGGGGATTGGGATGTTCATTGGGGGTGCGGGCCTTTGACCCAAGGTGTTTTCCAGGATTTTCAGACAAAAAACAGTTGGGAAGGCCATGGTGAAGAAGTTCGGACTTGGTTTGGCCAATCCACGGATGTGAGGTTTTGTCATATGTTGTTTCTAGGGGAGTAGATTTGAATGAAATGGAAAACCTGAGGTAGAAATCGAAATTTGTTTGATTGTGAGGTAAACCCAAGATGCACTTTGATCGAATTCTTCGGGGGAACCCTTGGTACGCCAAAAGTTACTCAAGGACTCTCATGTTGGCTTGGATTAGGGTTCAGGGCAAACCGAAGATTTCCCCCTCAGGAAAGGCGCAGCACAATTTTCCCCGAAATGGCCATGGACCCTATCCTATGGCTCCATCTTGGGGTGGATGAACATCCATTTGCCACCTATTTTGATGTTCACCAGGGGGAAAAGGGTTTTGACCCACAGCCAAATGGGTGTGTATGTGTGTCTTTGTTTGTGTGTTTTTCCGCAGCCGAAAGCTTTGGGTCTCTGCCGAATTCCAGAAGGATTCCGGAAATTTGGACTGTTGGGGATGCCACGCAGGCTTATTCTTGGAGGGTGCCGTTTGTGTATTGGTCTAAAGGGGAACCACTTTTGCAACTGGATCAACCCATGTTAAGCATGTATTCAAACACGCACCCAATCCCGAACTGTAGGATGGATACCGTCATGCTGTCCGTTTCTAAATTGTCGCGTCTCTCGTATGGTCCTGTGCTCCATATTTGGTGAGGCATCATGAGCCCAGGGAAAACACCGCGTTGCATTGCTTGCTCAGCCAAGTTCGCCCGGTCGCTGTGGGTGTCCAGCATGCATACCAGCACATGTTGATCCCAGATTTACAACCTGGGCCCCAAGAAGGGTCCCTTAGTTCAGACATCCCCTATCAACCAGAGCATGTCTACCAGGTCTACTACTCATGGACTGCTGTTCAAGGATGGATTGGAGTTCAGTTCGCCACACACTGAAGGCTAGTCACCAGGCAGTCTAGATTCAAAGGCAAGAGATCGAGCGCGGTCGGCACCTTTGCATTCCAGCGAATTGGTGAACACGTATCGCTGTCAGTATGTGTTGAGCCCTACTTGGGTTCATCTGGGGACATGTTGCTTGAAGCCCCGCAGCTGGCTCCCAAATCGCTATAATTATTTGTCAATCCCTTATTGAGGAAGGAGCTATTCGGGTTTTTTGCCTTCCAGCGTTGAGACGACAATGGACATTGGACATTGGAGAGAAAGACAACCGGCACGCCTTCTTGGCCATTTGATGTGCATGTCGCACCTCTTGTTCTGATCTTCTCCCTCCAAATCCAAGTTTAAAATATTTGAGGAAATCCCCAGCCAACCTTGCAATGTTTTAGGACATCCCGGACAACACGCTTCAAGCGGGGTGTGACTGAGACTGTCCCAGTGAAGACGCGTCTTGCAGGCTGCTCACAGCTCTCTCAGCCAGCCTCAGCGGTGGCGGGCGTCTTGGCGCAGAGAGGTTGCTTTGCCAGTTATCCAAAAGCAAGCCTGTGCTTTTATGCCCCCTCTTCTTGGTAGTTTCCATTTGTTACCTTGGTAGGATTTGAGCATTCACTGAAAGATTGACTAGTAGACTGGGTCAAACACATTCCTTCGCCCTGATGCCAGATGGTAGGGGTTTCCGTTGTTGTAGTGCTGTCCAACGGAGTGGGATCTTGTTTTGATTGAGCACTGAAAGTGGCGGATTCGCTCGAGGTAGGCATTCCCCCAAAGTAACGAAAGGACCCCTGTCTGCGCGTCACCCCACACGCAGTGGTTCAGCTTCCGCTGGACCATGCTTAGGCATGGTCCGTAGAACCCGATTTGCGGGGTTAGCCCTGGTCAACCTTTTAGATTCCAGGTCTTCGAAACGCGGGTCAATAAACATGAATGCAACCATATCGGTGTATGGGCAGCCACAAATTCTAATTTGGAAGAGCACACAGGTGCTACCTCAGGCTGACTGGTATGGAGATGCTGTCGTTGCGGGGAAGGCCACTTAGAGGTTCATCCAGTTTGTAAGCATGTACTTGCGACGCTGGTTACAGGCACAACTCAAGCGGGATGAACCTTCCAGCCGGCCCAAATGCCCTTCAGTGCGCTGGGTGTCGAATCGGGAGATTTGACAAACTTCAACTGTGTCTTCTCCAAACCCTAGTAGACGTTAACAGTTTTTGTGCTTTGTCTTTTGCACAGGTTCGTTTTTCAGACACGTCGTTCCGTGGAAGTCGGAAATGTGTCTCCCAGAGCAAACCTCGAATATCGAATGACCCTTTGGTTTTAGAAAAAAGCCAACAATATTGCTAGCTAGACCAATTGGGTTTGTTTTTTGAGGGCCCCGTTGTTGCGGTGGTTTTGAAGGGAGGCCAAAAACACAACCACCGTTCAACCACCATCTTTTGGGGGGTACCAATCCCCATTTTGACACAGATCTTTGAAGAGACCTTTGGTTTGGCCGGACAAATCTTTCAGAAGCCAATGTCCAGCGGCTCCAGCGCCAAGGACTCGGCGCGGCGGCGGCTTGGCGAATGCCGGTGGCTGTTGACATGAGCAACTGACATCTGCAGAAATGGCTGTGGGTCAAACCAATGGTACGATTTTGGGGTTGGTGCACCACCCATTTTAGAACCTATTTTAGTGGGGATTGGGATGTTCACTGGATGTACGATTTGGATTTTGACCCATGGCCAAATTGCAACGAGCCCAAGTCGGGGTTTGATTCTCGCTCCTGATGAAGATGACCATTCGACATGGTCCCAAGCCATTCAGTTGCGGGCCTTCCAGGAGCCTTTCAGTAGGTCTTAATGATGGGAACTGTGTGCCAGAAGGGTTGTAGAGGTTCTGTCAGATTCTATTCCTCATAATGGCTTTTGGCACTCTTGGCGTCATTGATTTGTGCTTGAGATGCCTGGGGCCTAGCAGTCCCTGGCATCGTGGGCAGCAAAGGGCCCTCCGAAGCAAGTGTAGAAGCTGGTTTTTCTCTCCAAGCGTTTGCTGACAAGCCCCAGTCAGCCCGCGACAGTGTTCATTGTGACCAAACATATGCTGAATCCAGACAGCTTTCGGGACGCAGGCGCAAGCAACCGGAGTTATTTTGAGAATTTGGCTGCTCATACCCCTGTCACTACACTTTGGGTCAACTACATGTGTTGTAGTAGTGTCGTTGCAGGTCTGTGTATTCCCCTTTTCGTTTCGACCCATTCACCACGGAGGGAACCGACAAAGGCACAGACAGGTCAAGAGCCACAAACACATCAAGCCTGGGGCACGGCGCAGTTCGCAGTTCCAAGGCGTAAGAGTCCGATCTCCATGTCCCAATCAGCTTGCCCTAAGGGGATCACCCTGGTGCGTCAGTTTAAGGGTGCCCTTTTTGGAGTGCTTGGTTTGGGCATCCAAATTGAAGCCGATTCATTTGTTTTGGGAGTTCCACGTCCAAGGTGCTAAACAGATACTCATGACTTGAGTCTATGACTGCCGTGTGGTTGGAATGCCAACCCTATTGCAATAGTTTCTTAGGTCCTTGTAGCACGCCCTAGGCCCTCAATTTGTTTCGGCCCTTGCATCGCGCCGTCGTGCCCAAGCCTGGGCGGTCTGGCAGGTGCATTACTGGATCAATTCGTGACATCTTGCATCTTTGCCCTTGAGCATGGTAAATGAAAGAGCGTGGGGCATACGGACGACTAATCATAAAAACTAGAGCCAAATTGAAACAAACACCTTCTAGGTTTTAGGTGAACCAAGCTTAAGATGGTTGTGAACCAAGCTTAAGATGGTTGAACCTTGCAACCAACACCAAAGCCCAGTACCCCCCAATGGCTGGCAAATAACCCCAATTGCCAGCCATTGGGAGGTCACAGACCATTGGCCAGCCATTGGTTTTCCCACGATTTTCCAATCGGGGTTTGCGAGGCGGCGCTGGTGCTGCTGCCGGAGCTCTCCTTTTCCAGCGGCTTCGCCAGCTCGGCCTGCGAGCTGCTGCCGCAGGCCCGGTGAATGGGGTGACCCGGTTTCCCGCGCGCATGGATGGATCCGGGCCAGAAAAGAAGAGACCAGCCACTGGGTTCAGATGTCCATCCGCGGCACGCAGGCCCCATCCGGTAACTATATGGATTCTCCAGAGGCAAGTGATTTACTTGGAGGCAGACAACCTGCTTGAAGATCTTGTTGAGTGCCAACCAGTGCTTTATTTATTTATCGGAAAGCTTGATTTGATAGGATTGGTCCCGAAAAAACATGAGACAATGGACTGAACACCCGCCAAAACATGTTAGATAGAAGCCTTCTTGGCGTGCGGACGATTTTTCCTTAGGTGATGCTTGTTCCCTACCCCTTACCCGCTGGTGCAATATCCAAGCCGGACTTTTTTGGCAAGTTCCTTTGGTTTGGCGCCACCCGGGCCAGGCAGAACAGCGATTTCCCCATGCATTGCTTGCTGGTTCGATAGGCAGGCAATGAATGACTTTTGTAAAACATCCCTTGGGGTTCCTTCCGCGGATTTCTTGTCGGTTCATTCCCACAGCCCCTGTCGACTCGCGGAGAACCAAGATGCACCTTTGGGTGACCCAAGGTCAATCCATCCTGGTTGGTGGTCATCAACTTGAAGATTTTAGATGAATTTAGACACCCACTGTAAAGGTGTCACAGTTTGCAGAACAGTCCTAGCTATGTTTTCCGAATGAAGGGAGCCACCGTCCATGGAACTCAGCCGTCGGATTGCTCTATGCCAATGGCAGCACAGACTCCCTGGCACCAAAAGCAAAGACGTCTTCGACAAAAATGGGCAAGTGCACTTTTTAAAGGGTAGATGGGTAGATGAGATTCATGTATATGGAGCATCATACGATTTTGATGAGCTTGGCTGATGGGCGATGCTGGGCCACCAATTTGTCGCCCGAAAGATGTTTGAACTGTGGGGCACGCGCGCGCGAAAACAACACGCACATTGGCACTGATGGCTCGACTTTTAGTTTGACGTGTGTTGACGCCAGCTGGGTAATTCTGATGTTCAGTAAATCCGTGTGCAGTGCAGAAACAGTTCAAAACACCTGAAGCACGGATTATTCCACAAGAAAGCAGGACGAGCAGGACCCACCTATTCCAGTCTGACGCAGTGTTTGCTGGGTTGTGAAAACCAATACTGTGCCACCACGCAGACAGATTTGGCAACTTTGTAAGTCGCCGCAGTTCGGAAGGTGGCCAAGCCAATTAGGGTCTTAGCTCGCGCAGCACAAAAACTTGACTTGTTGGGAGCTTGTCTTGTGGAAGTTATTTGTGCTAGTATGCCGATCCGGGGCTGCCTTTGATGATGGTGCCGATGTCGGTGTCGATGTTGGTTTTGATTATTGTTTTTGTTGTTGTTGATGACGACGATGATGATGATCATGATCATGATGATGATGATGATGATCATGATGATGATCATGATGATGATGATGATGATGATGATGATGATGATGATGATGATGATGATGATGACTACGATGATTACTCTCATGATTATGGTGGTTGTGGCGGTGGTGCTGCTGCTACTGTCGTGATGCTGGTCATGGCAATGCAGACGTTGCCATGAAGACACCACAGACATGAGAATGCTTGACCATAGCTGTTCCTTGAAGGCATTATTGTTTTTTTAGCTTGTCCCTGCTTGTGGTTCTCTTATCACGCGGAGCGTTTGAACATGTTTCAATGATGATAGATTCCCTTGTTCAAAGCCACCGAAAAGGGGTTCCTGGTCACCTACCTGATCCTCTCCTTCAGGTGCTGGTCGCTGCTTTGGTTGCTGTGCCAATTTGAGCTTTGGCAGCACATGGAAGGAACCGCACTGATATTGCTGTATGGATGCGATAGTTTGTGGGGATGTCAAAGGAAAACCCACCGTGGGGGTCCCTGAAGCCCGAGGTACAATTTACGTGCGGTTTAGTGACGTTTAGTGCAGGCCGCCAGGGGCCGGGCCAGGACTGAAAGGGTCTGAGGCTGCCGCCAGTGGCCAGGGCAGGGCAGCTAGGCCAAAGCTTGGCAACTCGTGTGAGTTGCCAGGCCACAGTCCGAAAGGCTGAGGCGTGGGTCGAAGCTGGAGCACGCTGTTGATGTGGCATGTTTCAGAACCAGGTTGGGCCGCGCCAGGAGAACGTAATTGCGCCTCTAGAGAGCACCTGCGTCTCACGCAGGAAAAAGCGTGCAGCCGAGGCGATGCTGCGCCACAAGACCCAAGACTGGAAGATTGATCGCTTTGGGTTTTTGTTTTGGTAACCTTTGGCCCACACGTTCAGCTGTTTTTTGCTGCTATCAACCCATGTAGTTGGATCTTGGGGCGACAGATTCAGTGTCTTTGCAAGAGCTTGCCTGGTCCTCGCGAAATCGGAGTGCCCCGGATGAATGGAACCTCCGCCAAACACAGGAAGCGCTGTTTCGGTACAAGCTAAGGCTGCTTTTGATTACGGTTACCACTGCTTCAATTTTGGTGGCATTTTGCTTTGACTGAGTTGCAGCCAGCTTGAGGCCTCGCAGGCGGTCGGGTTGGTTGCAGACTAGCTTAGCCAAGCAAATTCTTCTCAGGTGGGCGTCGGGGGAGGAAAGCATAGCTGTGGTCGGTTGCCCTAGGCCATTTCGAGCCGCTGTCTTCCGCGGAGCTGCTGGTCTTGCGTGTCTCCCTGGAGCAGGCGCGTGGAGGGGAAACAGAAAGGAGATACCTGGGGTCTCCTCAGACGATTTGTTTTTTGAGGGTTGGCCCTAAACCCTAAATCCTAAACCCTAAGCCTGCGGACCAAAATGCGCCCAGACTTGCTTTTGTGGGTTGTCCTTTAACATCTGCTTCGAACAAAGGTGGCCTTTGTTTGGGCCCTGAAAAGGGAACCAGGAGGATACTTAGAAGCAGCTGAATGCTGGCAATCATGAGCATATATACCAAACCACGCCCTACGTTTTGACCAGCCCACTGATCCAATAGATGGAATCGGGGAGTAGTCCCAACAAGGGACCGCCTCCCCATACATGTGTCCTATGGAAATCAATGGAGGGGCGTGCGTTTTTTTCCAGTTGGACGAGGGGTTTCCTACGATCCACGCACGGCGCGCCAAGGGGGCACTGCTGCTGACACTGCTGGCCCGCATTTTAGGCCTGGTGCTTCGGTGCACGGACGGGGTACTTCTTTAAAGACCCGTCGGGGGGTCTTTGGAGAAAAGCTCAATGAGTATCCCCAGCCCGGGATGTAGTTTTCAAGTGCGAACAATTTGCAGCCAGTGCACTTTCAAAGGCTTGTTTAGTGTCAAACTTTAGAGGCAACCTCTTGTAAAGCCTTATTATTTGTTGGATGTGTCTTTCAAGAATGTGCCGACAGGACAACTGGCATGTATTTCGGACAGAATCATTGAATAGTGTTATTGCAGTGGCAGGACAACCAGCATCAGGCTTTAATTGCTGCGCTCTTAGACACTCACGCGTGTAGAGAGTTGCACAATGCTCGTAGACTTCTACAAACACACACGAATGAGATGCATTCATCACTGCGCTGAAGGTCATTCAAGATCAATTACCAGTAAGTCATGCAAATTTCCCCATCCTCGTGCATTCACGGATTCGCACTGAGATTCCATTGTACGAGCATGCATTCATGCAGAAACATGCATGCATGTATCCATTGCAGAAGTCCTTCCATACATACACCCAAACATGCATTAGCAGCATGCATGCACACATACAAACACAACGACAGATAACGAAACATTACATAACATGAACACCATCTCATAACACTACCTTACATGACATTGCGCTGATTTACAGTGCAAGACAGCACCATGCAATACAGTGCAAGGCAATGCAATGCAATACAATACACCAAAGTACAATACAATGCTGTGCAGCACAATGCAAGCAATGCCCTACATCACAACTAGAATGCAGTGCAACCGCCATGCAATACAATACACTATATTGCGAGACCATGCACTACAGTGCACGACAACACAGTACAATGCAGTTCCACACACTTCATACTATACAGTGCGCTGCAATACTGTGCAGCGCACTGCAGCACACTACAGTGCAGTGCAATGCGGTACAACACGGCGCAACACATTGCAATACTATCAAGTTCAATGCAACGCGTTACAATCCAGCGCAATGCAATGAGCTACAGTTCAGAACAGTGCAATGCACTACAACACCTGTACAGTGGAATGCAATGCAATGCAATGCAATACAATACAATACAACGCAACACAACACAACACAACGCAATGCAATTCAATAATATACAGTGCAATGCAATACAACACAGTGCAACACGCTACCATACTCTACAGTGCGATGCAATGGAAAACAGGGCAATGCAATGCAATGCAGTGCGATGCAAACCAGTGCAATACAGTGCTTACAATGCGTCGGCCCCGCTGCATGACTTTCGCTTATTGCATTTACTTTCCGCCCGGAAATGGACGCCGACGATGAGAGCAATCTGGAAAGGAAGGCAGGCCGTCGGCTCCCCACCTCCATGATCCGAGGGTACTGTGGGCGTGTCGCACAATTGGGAGCCTGTTTTGTGCCTCCCCTGGAGTTCATTTCCGGCGGCGCCCACTTTCTTTGGGCAGCAGAGATGTGCGAAACAGCAGTTTAAAACACTTCTGTTAGTTGTTCAACCATGCTCACAAGGGACTGTCTCAACAGCGGAACTTGGAATTGTCCTCAATTTTGAGAACCACGCGCTTCGTTTCTTTGAGATGACAGTTTTGGATGGATGAAGCCAGCGCTTCCAGTTGCCACCATGCTAGGTAACCAGGTATATTCTATATTTCGACTGGGTTGTACTTGACGGTGTTCCCTTGCCTATACTTAAAGCTGCAAGCGCGGGCGGCGGCTTCCCACATACTCCGCAAGTTGATCTGGAGGTTCCAGAAGCCATCACTCCAGGGGTTGATTCCTTTTCCATTATTTTCAACCATCGTTCTTTTCAAAACCCGAAGCTAGAATCACTTCCGCATTTTGGGGAGCCCGCTTTAGCCTCGACTCTCAGGCCGGTGCCGGGCGGTGTCGCCCTTGGAAGGCGCGGGTGTTCGGTTTGGTGGGGTCAGGTTGGGGTGCCTTGAGGGTACCGGTTTCACCTTGGCTTCACGGAGAGGTTCCACAAGAATATCCATTTTGGGGGGTCTGGCTATTTGGACGAGCCAGGTGCGAACAGTACATTGGGGTCCGTTACCTTTTTTTGATCTACTTTCAAGTCGTGGAATCACGGATGTGGTGTTCACTTCCGCGAAAGGCACGTCCCCTTGGGAAGAATTCGCTATTGGGAAGGCTTCTTGACAGAGGGCCCCCCTTTGAGGAGGAGTTTGAAGGCAATCCTTCGTTGGTCATTCCCTCATGACCACATCAATGGACTATGCCACCAGGTCGCTCTTTCATTGCTGCACTGGGTTCCCTGGCTTCCTCTTGGCCACTGGGCAGCTCAGCCAGGGTTGCTAAGATAGTGTAGGCTTCAGGCCTATTTATCAGCCCTGATTGTGGACCTTTCTTGGAGTTCACCAGGCAAGAGCTTTTTGATTTGGCTGGCCTAGGGCCGTACATGCAGCCAGGTAGGACTCAAGACGGGGGAGTTCACTTGAAGACAGCCTCTTTTTTTTCTTGGGGGGGGTGCAGGTTCACTGGTTTGCAATGCGCCCTTCAAATTGGTTGCAAAGGTACTTACTGATCAATGGGCCTTAGCCACACACACACACAAACACGCACTGCCTTCCGAAGCTAGACATCATGGGGTGTGTTTTGGGACACTTGGGAGTTGGCCTCGTTGGTAGTAAGTAACTGACATCATATTTTGCGAGGCCACACCCAACTGCTTGGCATGGCAGGCTCTGCGAAGCAGTGTCGCGTCCCAGAGCCTTGGCGAAAGACGTTGAAGGGGTTGCAGCTTGTTTTTTGCTGGCACTATGCTAGGCTTCTCAATGAGATGTTGTTTCAGGCGCATGTTCCCTTTGGGGTGTGTGTGTGTGTGTGTGTGCTTTTTGGAAGCTCGGATTGCAGACTCCACCGGTGCTTCAAGGCTTCCAAGTGTCACCTTGTGTCCTTCCCAAGTGATGGCTTTGGCCTTACAAGGAGCATAGCAGCTTCACAGTCAGAGGGTGCCTCTGTGTGTTGGTTTCAATGGAAACCAGAGAAACAACAGCCATTTTAGGGCTAATTTTAAGACACACTCAACTATTCACCCTAGCTGTTGCAAGTGAGCCCCCCAGGTCCAACTGCTGCACTTTACATGATTTCCCCTGCTTTCAATATTTGGGTGTGTCGTGTCTTTTTTTTTTGTGGCACCTTCTTTGTGGAATGAACAGTTAAGCCAAAAGGAGAACAAACTTGAATGTCCCTTGTTTTGAGACCAACAATTGCCTCCAATGGACCAGGGTATTAGTGTTGATTAGGCGCTGGTTCTTCAGGTTTGGCGGATATCGGGAGAAGTCAGTCTTTGGAATTTGCTTTATGGTGAGCAAGTAGTCATGGGGATTCAGGCCCGACTCTGAGAACAGACACTTTCCGAGGCATTATGTTATTCATTCAGTGATGGGACAACGACATTGTTGGACTTTGTTGGTTGGCCGCCAGTTGGGTGAGTTGAGCAGGATGAGCGCAGCGGGAGAGGGCGTCATTTTATCCAGATGGCACAATGTCGAAATCAGTGGACGCTTTGTGTCAAGTGGAAACATAACAACGTGTCTTTGCTGATCTGAGACATGCGAGTGGTGCAGTTCTGGTAGCTTGACTTGCACTATTCAGGGGCTTAAGCGTACCTGCTTTGTGACATGCCCATGGTTGCGTCATTGCCAGAAGCTGAGATTTGCCCGTTTCGTTGGGTGTTTACCTTTTTGACACATGATCTGTGTTGTACCCTATTTTCGTCAGTGACCTTCTGTCAGCTTGCACGTTAGTGAAAGTGAATTGACGGGATGTCGGGAAGCCCCGGCCCCAGTTGCTTTTTGTCTGCCACCAGTGGGGCATTTCCTTGTTCTTTTGTTTTGCCATGGGGGGTCCCTTGAAATCAGACAGTAAGAAGGGGGTGCCATTTGTTTTCCCTGGACCCGTTTATGCCAACGTCAGGTGAGCAACCTGCTGGAGCAGACTCTGGCGCGGAACTGCCCAAGCATCGGCCGCCCCTGCGCGGACCGCAGAGGTCGGGTTCCGAACCCCCGAAACCCGCTCGACTCACAGGGCTCCCCGATCCGACCTGGGTCGGTGAAAAATCGTGTTGATCATAAAAGACTTTCAGCCGAGGAGAGTCGCTTGCTTCTCAAGCGTCTTCGGGGAACGAAGCTAGGGATCCCCTGAAAGGAAACCAGAAGGGATGGTGAGGGGCTATTTCCAGAACCCTGAGACCAAGCAAGACGAGCACCTTCCGGTGGCAAGCCGCGTTTGCCACAACACGTGCTCCTGCCTTTTTCCATGGCACGCATCACCCCTAAGAGGTTGGGTGCAGTTCTTGACACAAGCGGCTGCGTGACTGTTTCTTCAGTGGCACCATTGATTGTGTCCTGTTTGTTGGTTCCGCTCTTCACATGGTCACCCCAAAAGGGGTTTCCTTGGCCCCTATTGTCACTTGGCAACATAACTTTTTCCTGAGATTGCTTGTGCACACATAGCCGCAGTCCGCAACATGGCGAAGTAGACAATGGCGCTTCCCTGTAACCTGATCTAGCACTAGCCCAACATTGCCTGAAAGCGACATGAGTTTGTCTCCAGATATGTTGCCTTTGGCTTTCCTTATAGAACACTCCCGAAGGGTACAGTTGGCAGGATGTGTCCATTCGTCCACTGGCAATCAGGTTTAATGGCGTGGTGTGAATCTGACCACGGTCCATTCAGGCAACAGGCGTTTTGTGGCTTGTCTCTGACAGAATCCAGGGTCGGAGTTGTCTATTCTATTTTCAGATTGACATCCTTGGTATTTCCTTTTCATTCAGGATGTCTTCAATATATTACGGAACCCTCATAAACTGGTGGGCTATCCCCTGGTTCCCCTCAAAGAGTCGGTCTTAGCACAGCCCACACATGAACATTTGCGCGTTTCAGCGCTCAAATCTTGCGGCAGGCACCGTCGTGCGCACGGCCCTGCTAGCTGCAGCAAGGACCAGCCGATTGGTCTTTGTCCTCGACTTAGGAGCATCTTGCTAATTCTTACTGGCTCTTAGTAACTAATCAACAGGGCTGTGGGCATGAACCAATGGATTCCCGTAGAGGGATGGCTTACGGGGGTCTTTCCCTTAATCCTTCTGAGAACCGGACGCTAGTTTCGACCCCGGATTAGTCGACACGACGGACAAGGTGGCGCGTTCATTTTTTGAGATATGGTTGCCCAAAAAATGTTTTGGATCCCCTCTGAAATGCGACACTGGCTGACATTCGAGGACCCGGGGTTCGTTAATCCAGAATTCCCTCCCTGAGAAACATGGGCTTACATCTTCAGTCACTTTCCATGGTGGGAGGGAGGGTAGAGGTGAATTAGTTCCACTGAGTCCGCGGCATTCGGGCATGTGTTCATGAGCTTGCAATATTTTGTTGGATATGACATGTGACACTGAAGGCGGCTCCCATGTAACGTAGCGAGGGACGGGACACGGCTTTATATAGTCAGTTTCATTTCTGGTCCAACATCTGCCCAGACGGAATCAGATGGGCGGAGCTCACTGTTCACGTGCTTCTTTTCCCTTGGAAAATCTAATCTTAAGACTTGCGAAACCAGCCAACCATTGGAAAATGCTCTTTTTTTTTGTGAGATGTAGAGCAAGCAACAGAGCAAGAAAATAGTGATCCCAAGTTTCGGGAGCAAGAAAAAAGTGATTTTAGAGCAAACAGTGGGCACTAAAAAAGCAAGAATGAAGCAAACAAGAGACCAGAAATAGCAAGAAAATAGCAAGAAAAATGTGAAACAAAAAGCAATAAAATTGTGATAAACCCTCGAAACCAGGAAATCTGCAAATCACAGCGGGAGATCACTATTTTCTTGCTTTTTTTGGCAGGCGACAACCCTCGAAACCCAGAAATCTGCAAATCACAACGGGAGATCACTATTTTCTTGCTTTTTTGGAGTGGAAAATCATTATTTTCTTGCTTTTTTTCCAGGCGACGACCCTCAAAACCCGCAAATCTGCAAATCACAACGGGAGATCACTATGTTCTTGCTTTTTTGGAATGGAAAATCATTATTTTCTTGCTTTTTTTGGAGGCGACGACCCTCAAAACCCGCAAATCTGCAAATCACAACGGGAGATCACTATTTTCTTGTTTTTTTGGAATGGAAAATCCTTATTTTCTTGCTTTTTTTGGAGGCGACGACCCTCGAAACCCGGAAATCTGCAAATCACAACGGGAGATCACTAGTTTCTTGCTTTTTTGGAGTGGGAGATCACTATTTTCTTGCTTTTTTTCGCAGGCGACCGTCGCCTCCAAAAAAAGCAAGAAAATAGCGATCTCCCGTTGTGATTTGCAGATTTCCAGGTTTCGAGGGTCGTCGCCTCCAAAAAACGCAAGAAAATCGTGATTTCCCACTCCAAAAAAGCAAGAAAATAGTGATCTCCCGTTGTGATTTGCAGATTTCTGGGTTTCGAGGGTTGTCGCCTGCCAAAAAAAGCAAGAAAATAGTGATCTCCCATATAATCACTATTTGGGTCCTCGCTGTTTTGAGGTGCCCAAATCACTATTTGATGACCATCTGATCACTATGTTCTTGCTTTTTTTTGTCAACTGTTGCAAGTGGATCACTTTTTTCTTGCTTTTCAGTTTGCTCTTAATTTTCAGATTGCTATTTTCTTGCTCCAACCCTCACTCCCAAATCACTAAAACAAATATTTTAACCTCCCTCAACGGTTGGCTGGACGAAAACTCTTAAATCTAATCTGGTGCAGCCCCACTGGTTTGAGGTGAGAAGTAGAATCGACAAGTGAGCGTTCATATTTACAACCGCTTGCGTTCCTGGCAACAGCCACATGGCACATGGAGATGGAGATCTCACCGACTTCTGACTCTGGGAGCGCACGCAGCACAAGGGTCTCAATCTATGTCTCGGGACCGAGAAACAGGTATTCAGCTCGGCCATGGTCGCCGTTTGTACTGGGATCTTCGCATCAGGGACCAGTCTTTATTGACCAAGGACGGGTGAAGAGTGAAACGAAACAGTACGCCGGCCGTGAATGGGATTTACATCGTGGCTTAGTTTGGGTTGGATCTGGCATGAACCTGGAAGCCAAAGTGCAAGGCACATCAACACCAATTCCAAGAAGCGAAGTGAGTTAGGTGTAAGAAAGAAGATGATGCGTCGGCGTATATGACTTAGGCTCAGTGTAACTGTTTCCTCTCCATTGCGCTGGTTAGTACACGAGTAACACTGCACAATTGACTTATATGTTTGTTTTTTCGGCTACCATTGGTTTGGGAAGGACACAGGGGGACAACTCAACTTGACACGAACACCAGGGGGCACAGATGGCTTTGTCCATGGGTCACATGTCAGCCAATCCATGCCACTTCCGAGGGTTCTGAAGGGAACAATGCCCCGAGTGGCCACCCGAGTGGCCATGGGATACATCCAAGGGCTCCACACATGTGCATCCCAGTATTTTCCGTGGCCCACCTTGGTAGGGGTGAGGTTTTGAGGGACATATAGGGATCCCTGCACACTTGACCAGGATTCTGATGCTCGTGGACTTGGCTGTGGCCTTTCCAGTTCTGACCCGAGGCTTGGTGCAATTTGAGGAAAGTGCTTCCTAGACTAGACACCTCTCAAACAGCATCCTTTGTTTGCCTGTGGCGAGCTTTGGGGGGAAATGAGCTCACCCTGATGTAGGTCCTTCGCTTGGAAACACAATTATTTTATTTACAGGTTCGAATCTTAGTAGAACAGTTAGAAGCTAAACAAGCTGAGGCAGAACCTGGCGTTCAAGCCTTTTCAGCCACCTCTGGAGTGATTCAAGCAACCGACTTTGAGCTAGCTGTTTGGGTTCTTCAGTTAGTAGGCAGACAGTTGTCACTGCCATGCTATAGATGCTTACACAAAATCCCAGAAGCGCAAAGGCTGGCTCTGTTTTGAAGACATGGGCGCGGACCCAATTGCTATGCCACTGCTGATGCAGGATTATATAGTTGTCTCCAGCCAAAGGCCAACTTTTGGAGGTTTTTGTGACAAGTTAGATTGCTTCAGTACTTATTTTACAATCAACCGGCCGATTGGAGATGTGTTGTTTTTACTTTTTTGGCTTGGAGTGTGTCTTTTGCGTCAACCCTTCTCCAACCTGGACCAATTCTTAGCACATGCTAAAACGATGCAGTAGAACTCCAAATCCAGGCAAAACTTACCCTACACCAATCCGTAAGCCCATCCTCCAACAACGACCCTAAAACCACCCCAAGCTCACCCTAAATCTAAGCAATCCCAGCATCGTTGGATTAACCTTGCATTTCAATGACCCTTCTAACCTCTAACGAACTGGTCCAAAGGGGTGGGGCTTTAGGGCCATTTTGTGATACCCTTGGAAATCGGAATCCTCACTTCAGTATCCCGCTGAGGGGTATCCCTTTCCACCCCGGGCTCATGTGTGCCGTGAGTTTGCCCCCCGAGATTGTTTTTCCTGGGGGTAACAAAGGGGAACAGCGCCCCGTTCTTGGGTTTCCCCGCTCACATTGTTTGATGTTTGAGTGCGAAGGACATCTCCATTGAAGCAAGCAGCATGGTTCCAAGAGGGCATCCATTGGGGACGTTTTTTTTTTTTTTTTTTTTTTTTTTTTTTTTTTCTGTTGACTCCCAACCTTCTTCTTGGGCAGCCCGGTTTGGGATTGAACAAAATGTTGGGTTCCCTCCCAACAAACGGTGAGCTTTGGATTGATGTTTGTGGCTTTCCGTTAAGTCAACCCTAAGCCTACCCTCCAAAAACAGACTCCCAACAACTGCCATCCCCGGCATCCATTTGGGTGTTTGTCAAGCTAGGGCCAACAAATCGGTTGTTTCTTAACTCATCCACACATGTGGCGCGCAGACGCCGGCGACGTGGCGCCTTACGACTTGGGCCACGCGGTGCTGTGCCTACTGCAGCTGCGCGCCCTGCGGGTGGCCATGGTACAAACGCCGCGGGCGGCGCCTCGGGTCAGAACCTGCGAGTCGTTTCCTTTGCAAACTTCGGGGTTTTGCTGGGATACTGATGGGTTTTAGTCTTGGGTCTTCCAAAAAAGATCCTGGGCAATATTTGTTTGGACCAGTTGATTAGTACATTTGTATACTGGAACATTACAATCGGGTTGCTGAAATAGTTTGGCGGTTTGGATTGTATTGCGAGGTTGGTTTGGGCTACAGGACCCTTAGGTAGTTTAAACAAGAATCCCAAGGAGGTTAGCTCAAGATCGTTAATTTCGTCCCCGGCAATCTGCTCCTCAAGTGGGGCATTGTCACAACTGGGCGGTCCGATATCCTTTTGTGCCACCTTTCGAAGGTATCACTAACAGGTCCCCAATTTGTCACCTGCTCCGTGTTGGCCGAAGACCATTCAACAGGCTATGTTGGTTTTGTGCTATCCATTGCAGGGGCACCTTTCCTCTGCTGTCGTTTAAGCCAAAAGGAGCAAGGTCCCAAGACAGACAGTCAGCCCGACACCCAGCCAGCCAGTCAGCCTGTCAGACAGCCGGTTCCAAAGGTGCTACGGCTTAAGCTAAGTTGAGCAGGAGGTCGACCACCTCACTTCTGCACGGATCAGCCAAACAAGTCTATATGCGCTGCTTGCTGCCAAAATGATCTCCAAATAGAATGCTTGCAATCAGCAGTTGAAAGTACGCTAGCCATTGAGCGAACTCCCAACACAGGACCTCACAGGAAAGCCTCCTGACTTCTGTCTTGGTTGGGATGGTCGTAGACCCTTGATGGGGAATTCAGTCACGTATGATCAGGACTCTTATTAAGGAATACATGACCATGGCCCACAGAAGGAGTTGTCACCATATTATGTATATGATGGAAGCTTTATTGTGTATTGCATATTTTAGTAGACAATACAAATATAAATAGTGTTACGTATATCTGAGCTGACCCAAGATTGGAATCCTGTACTTGGGGTTCCTAAATTCTGTTTCAGGAGTTATGGTAATTTAGATCCACGTTGACTTCGTCATTTGTTTACACTGGTGTGACCCCAGAAGACTTCTTCTGACAGCCAGCTGGACCGAGCTAGGTGCATTCGGATTCAATCAACGCTTCTTGTTACTACACGCATCATGCTTTTCCGCATAGTTATGCTGCCATGTTCTCATCTATGTTTGCATCTTTGTTATCTGGGGGACAACATGCTGATCACATCTCTAGCATCTTTTTTTTAAGATTGCTGTTGTCAAACTTAGTGTTCTGATTATGCGAATTACGTACGGGCTTATTCTTCTGAGGCCCATTTTGGGGCGGTGGCCTTAAAGGCACACCAAAGAGCAAACCACATTCGCTTCCCCTGTTTCTACACCGCAGGCACGCCGCAACTCATGCGGTTATTCCTCTGGTTTTGCCTCAAAGCCGCAAAAACACACACATGGATACCCGGAAAACACAAATACACCATGATTTTTTTTTGAAAACAACATATATATATATATATATTATAAAAAAATGAGAACGGGAGGTTGTTCCCTTAGGTTTCAGTCAGGGTTCACCCGAGGCCCTAGACATGGCGCTGGCGGCGCTTCAGCTCCTGTCCGCGGATGCCTGGCCCATGGGCGCCCGGAAGCCCAGTGAGAAGCCGCCGCGTCCCGCCGCGTCCTTCGCGACGGTTTTTGGGCGTACGGTTTTTGGGTTTCCTTCCATCGGTTTTTCGTTTGTTTTTGTTTTTTTGGGGGGGGGGGTTGGCTTTCGGTTTTTGGGTTTCTTCATGTTTCTTCCGGGGCGGGGGCGATTTTTTGGCATGCATGCATGCCTGTTTTACGGAGAAATAACGCGATAGCAAGAAATAGGACGCTGAGGTGCAGCTCTGTTTAATTGCAGGCAGCGCGACTAAAATAACTGGCCAAAAGCATGCTGAGGCATTTCGGCACCTACTCAGAGCTTTTGATCTCAAACATAGCTATCATAGCTCCATTCTTGAGGAAAGAACAACTGCCCAAGATGCTTTCCACTCCAAGCCACCGTGGAAAACTGTTTGTAAACACCCTGTAGGCAGGGGACTTGCAGCATGTCCCATGCTCCATCCCCGGCCGATGGCTTGCCTCGCAGGTGGCGATCTTCGCAGTCTCTGCCGCCCGGCGGTTTCTGACGCGGGGATGGCCTTTGTGAGAAACACGTTTCCATAGAAGCTGTCTATATGGCGAGCTTTCCGATCCGGAGACAAAGCAAAAAGAAGAAGACAAAACCAAGCACGCAAAAGCCATGATGTGTACGTCCTTTACACCACATGCATAATTTCATGCATCTGGAGACAAACCAAAGCTCTGTTTGCAAATCGAAATGCTATTAAAATTGAAAGAAGGAATTCCTGAGTGTGTGTGTGTGTGTGATTGTGTGTGTCTTTTTGCAGGTACTCCTTTTGAACTTTAAATGGGAAGCCCAGAGGAAAACACGCATTTTGTTGGTCCCTATTTTGACTCCTATCCAAATAGGGGACGTCCACAAAATGGTGGTGGTGGTTTCGCTTTGGTTGTCCCTTTCACATCCACAGCAACAGAATCCACTCTTCCTCCCTCCACCATAATACTTGTGGGAAGCCCCTGGCAGGTTCCTTGTCAGGGGAGGGTACTAAGTGGGGTTAGCTTGCCTCCCGAGCCAGCATGTTCAACATATGAGACCCGGCGTTACCAGCGGTAATCTTTCGTAGTGTAGGTCCGATGCCTAGGTGATGGAAAGGCTCGAGAACCAAACAAGGACCAATGATGTCGCACAGTTACAGGGTTGGTGCTACAGATTTGTTGCATCGTTGCCCCTCTTTGGGAGCCATGGCTTGAACCAGTAGTTTGCCACGATTTGGGAAGGGATTGACCGATGCGTACTCCAGCCGACACCAGTGCGAAGCCACCACAAATGACAAGCTTTAGAAACATGTGTAGTCTTACTTCGAGAGCCGATGGTTTCTTTGAGCTTAGCACCTGGCCACTGTTTACAAGAAGTGCCTAGAGAAGACGACATCGGGCAAGACTGATTTGTTTGAGAGCAACGTGGTGCGGTAAACTAAAGCAGAAGTGGCTAGCTTGCAGGCCGGAAAAGGGGGCGGGGGGCTCAAGAAAGTTCATAGACGAAGCCTTCCAACGTGCCCGTGGAAAGCACTGCAACCGAATGGGTATGTGATGTGTCAAACCAAGAACCTTGCTTTTGTTGGTGGGCTTGTTCATCATTTTCCACAAGTGTGGTGCAGGGTTTGGTGGGGCAACCCTTGACATCCTTTGAACACAGGCAGCAAGCAAGTGAGTTCATGCCCACAGGGGACTACCCCAATTGCGTTTGTATGTTCGAAGTGTTGAACCCGGAGAACAACAGGTGGCCCTGGGATGTTCAAGAGTCCTTTTCAAGCCGGAGCTGAAGATGTCCGTTGCTCGAATTAGATATGAACACCCTAGGCAATATTGGGCAATAGGAGTTTTACAAGGAGTTGCCTCTTTGTAAAATGCGGAATTGGAATACGCACCTCGTTGACGTTGAATCCGATATTGGCCGCTTCACCTGTATGCAAACTCCCTGTCGCACCTGCTCCGATACGCGGAGGCTTGGGGCACATCTCTCTTTTGGCAGTTCACAGCCAGCCATTTTTGACAACCTTTCCTTCCCGCGGGCTCCAGGAGAAACTAGTCTTGTCCCTAAAGAATCCTCGCTTCATTCCAACTCTCCCAAGCCTTGCAACCCACTCCCAACCCAGATGGCTGTGGGTCAAAACCAATGGTACCATTTTGGGGTAGGTGCACCACCCATTTTAGTCTATTTTAGTGGGGATTGGGATGTTCACTGGGGGTACGGGAGTTTGACCCATGGCCAGATGCGACTCTTTCGCAATCGCTATGCCTGAGGTGGCCAGGCAGCGTGCCGGCCTCCTGGTGGCCTCAATAGGAGCCGTTTCGCTCGTGGGTTTCGGGCCGTTACACGGATCTACGGCGTGTTTATGTGACATGGCAAAGGACATGAATGACATTTCAATGACACCAGGCTTGCAGTTCCATTTTCAGTCAAGAAAGAAAGAGCGAGAAATCCCCAGTTGGAGTCTTTATGCCAGTTTGGCTTGCCTTCTAGGGCAAGACGAGAGTTAGGATCTGGGCGGAGACCTGCTCAGCAGCCCGCAATCCCTATTGACCATCTTTATCCACCGCGCTTGTTTTTTTGTAACTTCGCTCACTTTGAAACTCGGCAACAATGTAACACACATTTACATATGTACACATGTAAAATATATATATATATATACATATGTTCCAGTTACCAGGCCCCCCTTTCAAAGGTAGGGTCCCCCTTTTCCCCGGACCCACCCCCCCGGACCCACCCCCCCGGACCCACCCCCCCGAGCCCCCGCTGCTACGGTCCCCAGAGCCCCTCCTCGAGCCCCTGAACTCGCACCCTTGCATCCCAACACGTAACCCACAACCAACCTTAAACCCCAACCCTAAACCAATCCTACACCCCTAATCCTTAACCCTAGCCCTAAGCCAACCCTAAATCAAAAATAGCCCCTAAACCAATCCTAAGCCAACCACCAAAACCCACCCTTCACCAACCCTAAACCAACCCTAAGGCAACCACCCAAAACCCACCCTAACCCCGCTTACACCAACCCTAAACCACCCTAAACCAACAACCATATACCCAGCCTACCCCCATGGGGGCGGGGGTGGAGTTGAGGGGGGGGAGTGGGGGGGTCCACGCCCTGGAACATAAATATGTATATATATATATATATAGATACGCTTAACATGTTGTACTATCGTCGTTGCTCAGTTCATTCATGGGCAGAATGCATTCCAGTCGGGGGTCGAACCCAAGTTGGCAGCCGTAGGATACGTGGCGCATTTGTGCCGCATCACCTTGGCCACCCCGAAGCTGCGGCATCCCGTGACGAAGATGCTCGTGGCGGTAGATGCGGCCTTGGTTGAACATCTTACCAGCGGGCCTGTGTCGTTGGAGGGTGCCGTCGTTGTGATGGTTTTGAAGCCTACCTTAGGATGCGTCTCAAAGTATTTGGCCCTTCGAAGGCGCAAGGGGACCCGGGCAAGAGTGTTTCCACCCCCAAACCTGCAAGGCCAGTGCGATGTGCTTGGGCTTACGCGTCCGCCTTTCTTTGGTCGCCGTCCGAGAGCAAAATGCGACGACCCTTTCGAATGCAGGGATTCCAACGTAGGAGTTCCCACTGGTGTGAAGATCCGGAAGCCCACCAAACCGGGTGTCAGCATTGAGCAACCAGAGATGAGAGAGCGAGACGTGACTTGAAGAGGACAACATGTTTGTTAGCCCTCTGAAGAGTGACTAATGGGAGATCATTCAAAAGGCACTCTTAGATGTGTGTGTGTGTGTGTGAAACCCCTCCAGGCTTCATCGCTTTCACGGATTTCAACTCAATAAGTGGACAAACATGTGAATCCTATTTTATTCGTTTGAACACATTTCTTTCTGTGACGCCAGTAGGGGGACGGACATGTGTGGGGCTTTGGGGAACCAAGCCAATCCCCTGAAAGGAACCAAGGGATGGTTCAGTTCGGGGTCATTCCCTCATTTCGGTTGTTGAGTTCCTGGACTTTAAGCTTGTTGAACAGACCATTTGAGTGGTAAAAAAAGCTCGGACGTTTTTTGGACCCACTCAAAAATTGGGTCATTCCCTGCGAACCAGCCATCGGCTTAGGTGTTGCTGTGGCCGGGGCTGCTGCTCGTGCTTCTTCTTTCAGCGGTTCTGGAGTCCCCAGTCATCAGCGTCTTCTCGCTGCCACTCTTCACCCTCAGCCCGCCCAGGTGGGGCTCCGTCAGAGTGGAAATGGCAAGGGGGCGAGCAAAGGGGATACGCACAAAGAGCATTTGGGAATTGCGCCGTTTTAAGTTCACCCAACTGTCTCTGAACCAGTGGTGTTGAGAAGAAGGGTTCCTGTGACGTTGAAGTGCCAAAAAGGGTGCCCTGGTTCCTTGAATTGTTCAGAATCAATCCTTTGTCCTTCTGCCACATGGTAGTGCTTCGGTGGTGTCCCACTACTGCACGAATTTGAACAACCTAGAATATGCGGTCTATAGCCATTTAGCTTCGGGACATGGGGGGCGCATCAAATTCATCCACAGACCAAGGGGCAGTGGCTCAGACTATGGCTCGCGGTCAGGGGCCGGGTGCAACGTGTTGCGGAAATCGGCAGATTCGGTTCTACGTTTTTTTTTTGCTCAGGGGGGGGGGGGGTGTCACTTTATACTTGCTTTTTCGCAGGAACAATCCAAGTGGGGGTTTCCTATTTTAGGCAATGCCCTTCGAGGTTCAATCCCAAAACCTCTTTTTTTTTGAGGAACCAGCAAGCATTTTCCCATGATCAACTGGCAAACCCCTGCGACTGGAGCGGTCTGAGCCTTGACCCTGGTGGGCAAATCGAGCTCGGACATGATGAATGTCTCCTCGGGAAATTTGCCTGTTTCTGAAATGATGGTTGTAGAAGCCAAACAGAGTTTCGCGTGCAACTCCACGTTTTGGAGAGGTTCCATCTTAAAAAAAAAACTCACGGCACACCATTCCTCCACTGTTAGTTGAAGTGGATCTGTTGACTTGTTGCATGTGTCAAGGGCCAACCCTCACAGGGTGTTTTGCCTCGTTGAAGTTCCCTCATCCGGTTGACTGGCAATTTGTGAGATGTTCCGGCTGCCACATGCTGCGTGTATATGCGGCCTATGTGTGTGTGCGTGTGTGTGTGTGTGTGCGGAGTGGCAGAAAACCCTGCCACCAAAACCTTTTTCTGTTGCAGCAGGGGGCGTGGCAGCCATCTTCCTAGCCACGCCAACGAAGCTATGGAAGTTTGGCCGGAAGCGTTGAGGGACGCCTCAATGCGTACCTGCAAGTGATCTCTGAATGTCTTTTGGCCCCCTTGGTTGCGGCGCTGTTTGTGCTTCTTGTTCTTTCGGGTAACGTTTTCGTCACTAGAGGGAAGCCGAGTGCATCGTGAGCCGAAACTTATCTTACTCGAGACTCATCAGTTGTACTCGAGACTCATCAGTTGTACTCGAAAGATGAGCATTCTCCATCTGGAGTTCAAGTGTGTACACCCCATTCGTGGGGAATCCTCGGGTGTACCCATTGTGTGACCCCGGGCCGGCTCTGTCGGAAAATTTGACCTCAACGTGCTTATCATAGAACAGCGGAATTTCACATTTAACCAGGAACGAGGTTTCACTAAAGGGAAGACAGCCATCAGACCATAGTGACGTCTCACCACAGCTGCTGGCTGCCGACTTTCATTGCACTTGCTGACCATTGGTTGAACTTGTTGCTCGTATCATTGCGGTTGACGATTGCTGACTTGTATTTGCTTTGCCTTGTACATGTCGATCGACCATTGCAGCTGGGGGCCGTTAACTTGCATTTGCATTGATTTGAATGTTGTCGGGTCCGATTCTCTCAAGGTGGAAGTGTGCAGATTCAGAGTCAGTTGCGTCACCATGTCTCGACGTGATGATCGTGATAGATCCAGGACTCGGCGCAGACGTGATCGGAGTCCGTCCCCTCAAGCTCACAAAGCACGCCGACGTGAACACAATGACAACCAGGTCTCGGAGAACATGGATTGGAACAACTTGGTTTCATGGCAACACAACCCCGGCTACAACGCTGCCAACAACTTTCCGATGATGCCTACCAACTTTCAATCGACTCACAACCCCACACAACAATTCCAATACCCAGCGATCAACTACATGATGCCGATCCCTCCAGATCCCACGCCATCCAAGTTCATGCCACCAGTGATGCCACCACCGGTTACTACTTCCCAACCTACACCGTCACCCGGACCTCCTGCGGCTCTACCGGTTCGTCCTCAGAAAGCCTGGCTTACTCCCTCGCCTGACTGGACACCTGGAGACGGCATGTTTGATGTCAATCAACTCTACAACTTCAGCCTGCCCATGACTGTTGCCAACACTCCGCATGGCAACCTTCGCGACATGTCAGGCATGGATATTAGGGACGTACGCCTGGTTCAGGTTATCCACGGGGGCCTCACCAACTGGCTACTCAGGCCGTTTGCACACGGCCGATTCGTGACGTGGGAAGGCTTTCGCACCCGCACCGAGGCCTTACTTTGGAGTACCTGTTCCAAATTACTACGAAGATCACAGTCACTCATGACCTTCGTTCTCATATGAGCCCGGAGCGGCAACAATGTCACGGATGAGTCCAGGTGAAAACTCGTCCGTCAAGTGTCTGCGTTGCACCAGATTGATCTTGTTCTTGCATTGCCTCTTGTGTGATTGTCTGTGATGCTTGTATTCATGTCGCCGCCTTGTGGTAGATTTCGTTGGTTGCATCTCACCATGTTGGATGAACTTCGCCGCTGCGGAATCTATGATGATGTTGCACAATGGCAGTCGCTGGACGACCTTCTGCACTCGTTGACCATATTCTCTACGTGCTGGCAGTACTGTTTTCCTGGACTACCACCACCGTCGATTCCAACTGAGGAGTACGAATCCATCACACAATTGCCGTGGCTGGGTCTCATCCTCGAGGTCTTAGTTGTGGTCCGGATAGCCCTTCAGATTCCGAATCACGCTATGTCACACTCTCAGCACACCGTGGCCAACAGGTATGAGCTTCACAGATGTCGGTGCGCTGCCTATTTATTGATTAGTTTCTTACAACGTCTCATTTCACAAGATCACGGCTACTTCCCGCCGTTCTTTGAAGTCCTTCACTTCTCCAAGACTTCTCTCTTGTGTGAAATCATGCACTCTACTTTCGCTGACACGCGACATCTGCGCTCATTGCGGGCGCGATTCCCTGACCTCTATGACTTCATACATGATCCAGGTCATCACCAACAACCGTGCGTCTACATTCGACTTTCCCCATGGCACACACCATACTATGTTGGGGCGACTGATCAGGATGTTCTACGTCGTGAACACTCACGCAGTCGCAAATTTCTACAACTACTTCGTGGACGGCACGCCTTCTTTGAACCAGCGCTTCACTACTGGAAAAGATCTAATACTTACTGGCTCTTCTGTGCTGTACCAGTGGAAATTAAACTTCCAGTTTCCTCGGTGTGGGTTCAAGAAAGCAAATGGCAATATCTGCTACGCCCGCATTTGAATGCGCCCTGGGTACACAGAATCTTGCGCAAAGTGGGCTTCCGGGAACATCTTGTGGATTTTCGACGCCACTCGTTGTCGTCTCCCACTTCCCTCGGCTTGCACAAGCGCTTTCGACGACGACTACATCCGGATCTCCAACGGCAACTACGACCTGACATCCTGGATGACATCCAAGCCCATTACTTGATTCTCTATCAGCTGGGATCGAATACAGGAGCGTCGTTCCAAGTCATGCGTGACCTACTGTCGGCGGCTTTCCCTCCCACTCAGCTGTACTACTTATTGCGGCTCGCAGTCTTTGTCAACGAGCCCTTCCGCTCCAAGGCGCAGAAACTCCTCGCCCAGGTGCTGCGCAAACGACGGCTACAACCACCCACCACTTTGACACAGCTGCTCTTACCGCCGCTACATGTCCGGAATTGGAAAGCTCTACTTGGCACATGGTTACAAAGCTGGATTGCTTCTCATCGGGATCTGTTCCCTTCTCTTTTCATTCCGAAGATCCGGGTTGTGGAAACTCGCAGCGCCACATTGGGCGACAAGATATACAACTACCGCACATGGCAGCGCAAATGGACTCCTGAAACATCCTTTCCGTGTCGCTGTTTGGACATCGATGATCACCATCTACACCGTGCACATGGTCACGCTGTAATGGTGGATGAGTTTTCTCGCATCAATGCGGACATTGACGTTGAAATCATGGCCGCCTCAATGAAGGATCAGTTTTTCGGTGATGTCGACTTATTGCATCAGCGTTTCACCACACAACTTCGCAAACTTGCTCGCCGCTGGCATGTACATGGTTCCAGTCTCCTTTCAGATCTACAGCCGGTTGTGACTCAGTTGATGGACACTCATCGGCTGAACCTCCAAGATCGGGCTTATTGGTCATCGACATCGTTGCAACGCACTGTGGCTTCTTTGTCTTCGTGGGTTGTTATCCCAGCGGATCATTTTCCCTCCCGCGCACATGTGATGTGCCCGTCCCTGTTTGCCATACTGATGCGGAAGACATTCTGCTCGGGAGATGTCTTCTCACTTTGCCGCGAATCCGCAGCATCCTTTCGCTCTGAAGTGGTAACCACGGTACCTTCTCTCCTACGTCAACGATATGCATGGGGACTTCGACTTGAAGCACCCTTGCCCACAGCGCGCATCCTCCCAAAGCCGACCAAGGACTGGCAGAAAGCTCGACCCATCATTTCATTCTTTCGCACATGGGCAGCTCCCTTCCTCACGGTCTTCGGTGCACTCATATTTGAACTTACCAAGGCTGCCTGCCCCGACATTGCAGGTCAACTTTCAGTACAAGAACTTATCCAGCAGCTGTGGGAAGCACTGTCAAAAGCAGATCCTGATGAGTACATCCACCTGGTGTCGCAAGACCTGTCAGGCTTCTTCACGTCCATTCCTACGGAACGATTCCACCAGGCGCTTCAAGTGCTTCTCCATCGATACGATCAAGTTGTTGGCCTTCGCAGTTCCTCGCAATGGTCCGTGTACGAAGTAAAGTCAGATCATCGACGCCGTATGTTCAAAGGAAAGTGGCGCCGTCAAACCAAGATCCCTCGAATTTTTCGTGAACAAGATCTCCGGCACCTTCTGGACTTTGTCATTGACAACAGTCACTTCGAGATCAACGGATACTTGTTCCGCCAAGAACGAGG